CTGCCGGAGTCGCTGCGGGCGGCGGCTCTTCTTGGGGCAAAGCGGAGTCTGTGCTGCAGCCGACTGGTCACTTGCTGCTGGGAGTCCGTTTGTCACATTTGGGCTCTGGTGAGATCTGCAGAACTCCTAGGCTGCTTTTGTTTTGCTTGGAGGCTGTCAATTATCCCCATTCAAAACTAATCTAACTGAGGTAATTGGGTTTGAAAAACACTTGCATCTTTCCAGTTCTACTCCTTTCTGCAAGGCAGAAGCTTCCTCTTTTCCTCCCTGGAGGAAATGTGAGTCGGCAAACTGAGCTAAAATGCCCCAAGTTACAAAGGAAATGAAGGCTGTGCTTTTCAGACTGGAAGTTAGAGATTTCAACTCCTGAAGTGCAACTCTCAGACAGTGGTAGAATTTTAAAACCGCTTGTGGAAGATTAGGATGTAGCAGATGCTGATCTCCTGGCATGCATCAGCTGAGAGGATGCTGCAGTTGAGCTGACAATAAATCCTTACAGCAACTCCTCAACTCCTGAATTTGTGTGCTGAAATACCCCTGTTTCATATTCAGCTGACCAGCCTCTTAGGCTTGTTTTTAAGCCTTGGTGACCCAGTTCTGGTGGGCATTAGATATCAAAGATTTCTTCAGGTGGTGAAACTTTCCCCACCGAGATCCTTGAGGATCTGAAGAATCTGGTTCAGGGTCCTGCTCTGCAGAATCAACCTGCAGTTGATGCAAGTCCTGTTTCAGGCATCCATAGTTCTCAAAGATTCTTCCCTAATACAAGTTGTTCTCTGATTCTCTGGCTAAAGAAAGCACATGACCAATGAGGGATCCCGCATGAACAGGAGTAATAAGCTGGAGTTGTAGTTCTCCCCACTTGATTCCTTATGATATCTAGGTGGAGGGGCTCATTTTGTCCTTTCAAACAAAGTACCTATCTGCAGCAACACTTTTCTAATTAAGAACTGATGGTATTGGGGAGTCAGCTGAAAATTGAAGGCTTATTAAGCAAGGCTGCTTGTCAAAGTGTGGTCATCTGCTCAGAAGCTGAGTGCTTTTTCTTATGGAAGTGTTGCATCTATGTGAAGTTCTGAATTAGATTTACTGCAATTACTAGCTACAAATTGATTGAACAGCTTATAAAGAGATGAACCCAACTTGCTTTTGTAATTTCTGTAAGAGTTGTGTACCACCAATACCAGAGGATACTAGGTTACATGCAGGCATGGGTAAAAGTTGTTGGATTAATGTTTGAGTCTAGAGCAGCAGGAAGTAGGCTTAATACTTTGGGATGGTTGTCAGGGTAAAGACCATAAGTGTGCAAAAATGAGGAGGAACAAGAAAGCAGTAACTTGCACGGCCTTGGGGAGATGGGGGTCAGAGTGTGGAGCAATGGATGAAGGACCTGACTTGAGGGGGTGAGGAAAAAGTATTTTTCTGAAATGCTTCACTCAGGTCCACTTCATAAGTAAACAAAAGCTTATCCATATTGCCTCTGAGAGCGCTCTTGGTGGGTGGGATGGGCAGTGTAATGGTTCCACTAGACCCTCCCTCTAGCTCTTGGTACATGCTATCTGTCACCCCATTGCTTGTTGCCTCCCTACTTATCTCTTTGGATTCAGCTATCTAGTTGCTCTCGAGTACTTTTGTGCCTTCTCCTGTAAGAAAATGACAGTAGCTTTTTCTGAAGTCCTCTTTAAAGCCTTTGATATGGAGCTTAAGCTTCTGCTAGTTCATGAGATGCTACTGTAGCTGCCAGAAATCTGTTAATAAACACTGCTTTTATTTTCTTGTCTAGCCATCTGCTAACTCTATACCTGGGCTGTGAGCTCAGAAAAGGAGTCACTTTGTGTACACCTCTGTGCCGAACCCTGGCATCCTGTTCACTGATGCGTATGAATTCATATTTAGCCAGAGACTTATTGGTATCTTACAGTAAGGCTGTCTTTTTAGTGTCTTTGTGCAAGGATCTTCATTAGATGTGCACATGCATGCCGTAATTTTACATTATACTCGGGAGACAGTCAGATGAATGGTCATACATAACATCAACTGGCAATAGTGTGTGTTCTGTCAAAATGATTGTCAGCTCAGAGATACAGTGGTCGCTTTACATTGATTTAAAAAGCGATGACACCTCCCAAATTTGAGGACTGTAAATTGTAGCACTACAACTCCAGGTTTACTTGTTTAAACAGAGGTGATGCTTCAATCTTGAGTTTGAGTGGATTTTGCTTTTGAAGCAAGAGGAACTCTTTAACTGAACAGCATACAGGTAAAACTTGAGGCTTTGCTCTTTTGCAGTGAATGATGATTAACTGGACATTAAGGACTGTCTTGAATGTGCACCTGAGATGTGCTGTAAGATCAAATATTGTCTGCAAGTAGGAGCTACTACACAGCTGGTGTGCATGTTGTGTAGAATAGGAGTTTCTCTTATTCTACAGCTCCTGTAATTCCTGCAGTAAGCAAATGCCTATCAGTCTCTCTCACTGAGGTTACAGGAAGCGTACGCTGTCAATCTGAAAACAAGGTTTCTCAAAGCTTCAGTTCTCTGAGGTACTTTCACTGCCAGCAGTGATAGTCTAGGATTGCCCTGGGAGCAGCAGTAACAAGCCTGATTGGCAGAAATGCATAAAGCTTAACCTGCCACTATTTGAGAGTTTAAGGTAGTTCTGCATTGTGTCCTATTGACTTCAGAGTAACTCAGAGCCACTGAGCTGCTTGTGGTAAAATGACAGTATTTGAGATGTTACCTTCTAGTACTGATTCTTTATTCCCCCTTTCACACTCTCATTGCTTGACTGAAGCATGCAGTATTTCTTTAGGATGATATATGCGATGAGATTCAGCAGGCAACTTCTTATTCCTAGGACTTGAATTTGTATGGCACCTACAAATCTCACTGTATAAACAGTGGTGGTGTTAATACGCTGATTTTTGGCGTGGTTCTCCCAAGTCTCTTTCAGTGGTCACGCTTGGCTCCTGTCAGACTTTTGCTCTCCCCGCTCTAACAGTAGGGCTTGCTTTGTGCCACTCTTGATACCTTCCTTATGAATCAGTTGGGAAGGAGCTGTTGCTCAAAAGCCATGTCCTTCTAGCCTGGGAATGCTGGAACTGTGTGTGTCTTCAGGCAGAAAGAAAAGACCAGAGCAGAATTTCAAACCCTCTCTGAGCATTGTTGTGGTATTGGTAGCTCAATTCTGAAATCATAGGATATTTCAATAGAGTAAGGAAAGTATCCCAAAGGAGATGATAGCTTCATCCTTTAAAAGTTAATAGATAAATAAAATGCTGCTGAAGGAAGTACACTGCCAAACCTGCTTAAGTGGTATTAACTGAAGAGTGAAACAGGGTAAATTACCACCTGTTTATCTATTACAGTAGTTAAGTGTGTAAAAGACTTACGAGGGAGCGTTAGCTGCAGCAGTCTGTAAAGGAAGGACTAACTGAGGCATTTTGCCTGCAGCTGAGCTAGGGGAGGATGCTCTGCCCTGGGGACCTGTGTTGGAGCAAGGCCAAGGTTAGTTATGCTGTTGAACTTTTCTACAGAAGCAAGAAGAAAACACTGGCTGATAGAGCTCAGTTTCTCATTGTTTATAGTAGTGACTTATATTTAGTAAATATTTGAGAAAAATTGTTGAACAATGAATTCCTGGCTGGTAGGGAGTGATCTTGTAGGAACTTTCCCACTTAAAATCACTGGCTAGCTTCCAAATTTCTCCTCCCTGCCCCCTTTCATTTTAGGACTGTTTTTGGATTTGTACCTTATTTGGAAAATCAACTTAATGATGGGAGGACATAATCAATTAAGCACAATGATTGATAGCTACATATAGTTTGTGCAACTAATCTGTGAATGAGGGTTGGACTGTTTTTAAGCCCCTATACATATGTTTCCTTCCAGCAGTGAAGTAGAGGTTTTTTTGTATGGGTGGCCTGGGTAGAGTTTAGTGAACTAACTTACCACAACATGTTGTGGAGTGGCCATTTAAGTGTGGTAGAAAAGCAGGTCTGCAATGGGGTGGAAATACTTGATCAGGGCTCAGATTCCCAGGTGCTGTTGCTGTGCTACTCCTGAGTTGAAATGGCCACTGATTCTGTGTAGTGATGCCTTGTCAGGGCAGTGCCTCCAACAGAGGAATGTGTGTTTGTATGCCAGTAGTAAGTAGAGTTTTGCGTATTTTTGGCCTTTAAAACCTAGATTCTGGAGAGAATCTATTTTGCACTCTGTCCATTTCTTAAGGAGTTTCTTAGCTGACAGCATGAGCTCTAGAGAGGTCAGTTAAGTACTCTGAGGTAGATATGGTGCATCAGCAACTGTTCTGATGCCTCAGCTGTAAAGTCAAACAGCATTGTAACTAAACTGAAAACATGGGTAAGAACCAATGAGTTAGTTCTCTACCCCACCATAATCCCCACAGTCATGGTCTCCCAGGGTTTTAGAAAGCTTATGGCATTCCGGACTAGACAGGATTCAGGAAATTTCTTTGTAAGTGGTTTCTGTTGCTGTGTTCTGATAACTTTCAATGTGTTTATGGCTAGCAGTGATGTAAAATAAAAGGTTTAATACTGGGGGTGAGATGCCTGAGTAGTGTGGAAGAAGAGACTCTTACTGCAATGTTCCACGATTAAACTAGACATGCAGTGTGCTTGTAGGGTTAAGTTACCCTCAGATGCAAAACAAAGGTGTGCGTATTTCAACCTTGTAGCAACACTGTGTGCCTCTGCAGAGGAGGTGGCCAAGCTGGAAAAGCACCTGATGCTTCTCCGCCAGGAGTATGTAAAGCTGCAGAAGAAACTAGCTGATACAGAGAGGAGATGCAATCTTCTGGCTGCCCAGGCTAACCAAGACAATGCCAGTGACACCTTCATCAGTAGACTTCTTGCCATTGTAGCTGAACTCTACCAGCAGGAGCAGTACAGGTAAGAAATCCTCCTTTGGGGAAAGGGGCATTACAGGAACCTTTGACTTCATTGACTGCAGTGGGTACTAGGCTTAGACAAGGAAAATTCTTTCTCTACTGCCTGGTATGAATAGGGTCTGCAGTTGCAGTTGGAAGAGCATGCTAAGGTCAGGTGGCATACTGAATCCAATTCTTGAATCAAGAGCTCTAAGTAAAAGTTAATCTAGGAGACTGACACTTGAGACAAGTTTAAAGAAAACTGACCATTTTCACTGTCAACAGTAAAACTCCCTTTGAACAGAAGTAATTTTAAACTGATCTATACCTAGTTGATGGATTAATTGCACAATATATCTTCTACCAGAAGGAAAGCCCTCCTTTCTTGAAAGGGTATGTCCTTGAAACCAGTTCTGTACTTGTGTGTATGGAAGCCTGATTAAATTGGCTTGTCTGACTGTATGATGTAACAGGTTTTGGATGGTCATATATGTGGCTTAGTGGTAAAAATGATATTGTATCTTTGAATCTCAACACAAAATTAGGTTTAGTGGTTTCTTTTCTATAGGCACATTAAGGATTGCCTTCAATAGTCTTGATCCCTTAACTGATTTAGTTCTGAGGCTACAATGACACCAATTTCTTTGCTATTACTGAAAACAATCAATGCCAATATAGTGAAGTAGTTCAGTCACGTAAGGGGAAAATACATAGTTTTGACTAAAACTTCCTTCCCCTAAGATCTCTTCATGAGCCTCCCTGTGAAAAGGCTCTGTGCCTGACAAGAACTTATTATAGCATGCTGGGTAAAAGATTTGTTAGGTAGCATATGTCAGAAGAGCTGGAACACTTCAGTTCTGTTCAGCTTTTGAGTTTTAAAGGCATAGAATAGTGGTCTGGTTACAAAAGGAGACAGGAAGCAAGTCCTAATGCAAGTTTTGTTAAGTAACATCTCTGTATTTTGTGCTTTAGTTTATAGCAGTGCTTCGATTTAGAAAATGGTCTGGAAAATACACCTACACAGTCAGAACACTTATAAGCTATGGGATTTTAAAATAACAGGGCAGGTACTTTCTAAATACGAAAGGTAACCTGGTGTTCAAGGGGTCAGAATGAAATCAGAGTGTTCTTGACAGCTGGTCTCTGGGGAACTGGGGATTGTTGGAGTCTGCCTTGTACTCAGACTACTGTCAAACATTTGTTCTCTTGCTGGTCTTGCCTGAAACCATTGGTGCTTAGCTGACAGTATTAGCATGGACACTGCAACATAAATATTTAACCTCAAGTTTGCTGGATTTTCCTATCTTCTACCATAGTGCCCCTGCAGTTTATTCCAAAATGGTTAAAAAAAAAAAACCCAGCCCCCCAAGCATGTTAAATAATAATGCCTCATTGCATTTCTCCATAGAAGAATAAGAATTGTCATTTGGCAAAATGTTCTAGTTAACCAGTTAAATGTATTTTGATGTCTCAAACAACATGATCCTAAATGTGGATGCTGGGACATAGATACTATGGACATGTTGAATCCATGCATATCTAAGTACAGGGGAAGCCTGCATTATACATGTATATGCTTTTTTTTTTTCCTCTAAGTGATCTGAAGATAAAGGTTGGGGACAAGCACATCAGTGCTCACAAATTTGTCTTGGCGGCACGCAGTGATACTTGGAGTCTTGCCAACCTTGCCTCAACAGAGGAGCTGGATCTGTCAGGTCAGTCATTGCTTAGTAGTATGATGCTTATATTGTCTTCAGGATGACTGGTGAAGGGGCCTGTTGGGAAAAGGATCCTTATGTACCTTTCAGACTACTACTGTCCACAAAAAGTGGTGCTTAATCCATTAATTACAGAGCCCTGTCTCTGAAACGTGGTAGTAGGCTTGTGAACTCAGTGCTAGTGCTAGTTAAATCAATAACCTACCTTCTTTCTCTTTAATGAACAGGGGTTGAGAATGGTGGCCTGTTTGTCTTTTCTAGAGTCAACTAAGCATAATGAAAAACAAATCTATATGGAGGAGCTTGACTTCTTCCTTTCTAAGGACAGGGCTTTTTGAGGTAGTGTGCATAATTTCTCTGAAGTGTGTCATGAAAATACCTTGCTTCTTGTTAACATAGCGTGTGTGGGAAATTAATAGAAATACTGATGTGTTATTAAAAAGTTATTTGCTTTGGCACTCTGATACCTTTGCAAAATAGGTGAGGAAGAGATGTTTTCTGAAAGACAGTCTGCTGCAAGATGGTGATCTGTTCTGCTGTAGCTGTTTCTTGCATGTACTTACACTGGGCAGTGTTTCTGCAGATTGAACCTCTTGACAGGCTTTTCTTCTGTACTTAACAGTATAGAAGGGTTAGTTAATTTGTGAACAATAAAAACAGGCATGAAGTTGAGCAGGTTTGCTGGCTGACATGTTGAATATTAAGCATTGGCTTCACTTTCTGCACTTAATCTTATCATGAATCCTCAGTGCAGACAAACTGGAAAGAAGCAAGTCACAGCAAGCTAGGTTTATGAGACAGCATAGGCTTTCTTGCAGAAGGATTTATGGATCTTTCTGCAGCAGCAAGAAAACAGATGCCAAGGATTTTTTAAATTGATTGCTATGCTAACAGAAGATTATTCAAAAAGCTCTTATGTTAATTGTAGTTTTCTTGCACGTGGCAGTCCATAGTCTTTCTAGGCTCCACATCTTAGCTAGTCTGAGAATCTCAAATGTAGCTGCAGTCCTGCATGTTTAATGATGCACACACATCCTATTATAGAATGATGCTTAAAATAAGTGCTAGTAAATAATACTTTCTGCTGTGTAAAATTGAATGTTTTATAAAATTTGATAAATGACACAAGGATTGGGTTATGAAGTAGTTGTAGCAAGCAACAAGCTGTCCCCTAAAAACTGTCATGGTTTTCTTAAGAGGTTGTCTTAAAAATTTGCAAGCTAAGATTGTGTGAATCCTGACTTCAAAATACAGGCAGCATTTAAAATGGTTTTAAGAGTTCATGGAGTCTGCAGAATTTTCTACTCTTTAAGAAGAGTAAAAAGACATTAACACAGGTTCTTTTGTTGGAAGGAAGAAAATGAACTCTGATCTCTGCCAAGGCAGAGCTGATATTACAGCTGAAGTAGATTTTCTCATTCCTTGCCTTACTAAAAGCTCCTGTTCCTTAGGAGGCAGTCTACATGCTATGCCAAGTACAGTCTGGTACTCTGCAAATAACCTGGGGCAACCTTCCATGTAAAGGAGATGTCTTAGGATGGGTTTTTCAGTGTCTTAAACATGTATGCTTTTTCTTTGAAGACAAACAAAACAGCTGAAGGGACTAATATTATTTTTCTAAATGAATGGTATTTTTTGTTGTAATTGGTCTGATCTTAATGTGGCGGAGTAATTCTTGTCTACATCCCTGTAGATTGTCACTATACATCTGACTAGGTGACAAAGGTACCTGGCCATTGGGCTTGCGTATCTCCTCTGGTGTGGGCTTCTATTTTTGTTGCCTGTGTAAAAACATCAGGCTTGTGATCAGTGTTGTAAACACCTGAAATCTAAACAGCTTCTTAAACTGACTCTTGCACCTTTCCTGGAAATGGTTCCCAGTAGTTTTAAGTACTTTGTAGTTGTTACCAAGGTGTAAGTACCTTTATTGGAACACAATAGTTCATAACGTATGGCTATAATATAAAAGGAGGAGGATTCTTAAATCAAAAAAGGGATTTGTGCTTGTCGAATGTAGATGTGGATTTAGCTATATGTGAGGGTCCGAAGACTTCAAAGGGGCATCACTGGCCCCTAAATATGCAATATTTATTTAGAAGGCAGGAGATGTTACAGGGCTCCCTGCACAGTGTTCAATGGAAAAAAAGGTTTTCCTGCTTGGTGCCAGCATTGTAACTAGTTTCAACTTCTGACCAGTTTTGCCTCTGTTTTGGCATTTTGATTGAACTAAAGCAGTATAGTTTCAACAAGGCTATCTCTTTTTTTGATGGTAGCTGTGATGTTAACAGTCAGAGGAATAGCAACTACTTGAATAGGCGATTGTTCTGTGGGTATTTTATTAATCCCTGTTGCTCCCTGTACCAGATGCTGACCCAGAGGTAACCATGGCAATGCTGCAGTGGATCTACACAGATGAACTTGAGCTAAGAGAAGATGATATCTTCTTGACAGAGCTCATGAAACTAGCTAATAGATTTCAGCTTCAGCTGCTTAGGGAAAGGTGAGTCTTGGTAAATACAGTGAATCTTTCTGAACTCTTCAACCTTGTTCGAATAGAAATGATAGCTACTGGCAATTGGATAAAATTTTGCTTTTTCAAAGACTTGAGGCTTTCAGTAGTACAGCATGACATTCACTTGATCACAGAAAATGAAGCCTTGCACTACAGTTAAACTGTAGCAGTTTTCACATATCTTTTATGTTTGCTTTCTAGTTCCTCTCCCAGTCAAACTAATAACCCTAATTTGGCATTAAGAGGAGATAGAGATCAGTATATTAGTAACAAGTTCTGGAGAGTTGCAAGAAAGGAATTGTTAGAGGATGCTAGGAAGAGTGAATGGCGAGTAGCTTGCTGTATTAAAATACCACAGGTGAAAAATTTTAAACTTAAATAGCTGTTCTGTGCATTTTTGGTGGCAGCTTTTCTTGCTAAAAAAGGTTAATGTAACAGTACAAGGCTTTGCCATTTTGAGGAGATTATGATTACCATTCTAATAGGTGCTAGGTTGTTAACCTCAAATGTATAGAATGCTCTAAATAACCATTTATGGTTAGTGAGAAGCCTGAATGTACAAATTGAAACATCTTCAAGTTTTGTACAGCTTGAAAGCCTTGAATTTAGTCAAAGATAAAGTGCCCTTTGATATCATAGTCTTCTGCCTGAGGGGTATCTGGGGCTGTAGTGGTACATGGCACTCAAATCTATGATTTAAGTGTGACTCAACATGAAGCAAACTAAATTGCTGTCACTTCTTCTGACCAAAGAGGTTGACATCTGTAAGGCCAATGCTAAAACTGCCTTCAAGCTTTTTATCAGCTTAAAACTGTCTTCATCTTGTACTACCTAAACATTCCTCAAGCTGTTGTCTGGTCATGGTAGTCTAGTGACAAGTCCATGTAGAGTATGCTAATGCTAATTATTGGATATCTTGGTAGGTATCTGCACCTGGAGACAAGTATTTCCATTTTTTGGTTTTAATATCTGCTTGGAGATCACTGGCATGCTTAACTTGATCATCATTTTGAGGAACTTGGATTTTCTTCCTGTAAACTCAGACTAATAGCTTCACATCTATAAAGATCGGGTAGATCTGTTGTTAAAGCTTATCCCTTGTCTTTATTAAACAAATAGGTGTATTTGGCCTGCCTTTTTCTAGTTTTGGCACAAAAACTGCTTGTGATCACACTGTAGTACTTGTAAAGATAGACATCTTCCCTACTTCATAACAGTGAATGAACTGCAGTGTGTTCCCTTGGGAGAAGTGGGATGTCTGTCTCCTCTTGCAGGCTCCTGCAGCATGTGGTGTTATCATGGGACCTTAGCTTAGATGGAATCTAATAGGAGCCTGCTCTTGGGGAAACTGTCTTACAGGGCTTCTGATTAAAGTATGCTTATGCTGCTTAGCCTTGTAGTAAAGCAAGGCCAAGCAATTTTCTACTGGTATCTAGAAAAAGGAGTATATAGGACCCTGTTACAGTCAAGTTGTTTCCTGGCTACTGAACACTGGCTTTCCTATTTTGACAGATGTGAAAAAGGAGTCATGTCTCTAGTTAATGTCAGGAACTGCATTCGTTTCTATCAGACTGCTGAGGAGCTGAATGCTAGCACTCTTCTGAACTATTGTGCTGAGATCATTGCAAGTCACTGGGTAAGTACAGTTAGAAGGAAGCAAGAAGAAAAATGTTTGCAGAGTATAGGAACTTGATCAGTAGAATTTTATTTAACTTACTGTACTGTCTAACCTCAGGAGTATCTCTTGGTGTGCTGTCATTCAAGTTGGGATGGGGATTGCATGGATTGCTGATAGGTTACCTTAGTCACTGAAAGTTATTATGCTGACCCTTGCATGTTTGCAAGGAGCAACAGTGTTGATAAATAGCTGTCAAATCTGCCTGCTCTGCCACCTACTGTGAGTGAAGGGGCTTCTGACGCAGGAGTGACTCTTCCCAGGACACCATCTGCCTCAGTTAACTTTCTATGTGCTTTTGATGCTGTATGTTATTTGGTATTCTCTACAACACTAATTCATAATTATGTTTGAAACAAAGCACATTAAATGGATCCTTCTTTAAGATTTTTTTGTTGTCTTTAGAGGCTATGTCTATTGTCTATCTTGGTGTGAATGTCTTGACTGGGGGAAGTAGCTTATAGTCTGAAGAGTTGTTCTATTCATTGGAAATACTTCACCATAAAAAGCCTTTTACTTTCTTAAACATGAGGCAAACCCAAGGGACTGTATTCTAATAAGCAAGAGGGTTGTTTATCAAATCTGGGCCCTGAACTGTTTAGAAGTTCATCCATAGTTGGTCTCTGTCTCTACACATCGCCAATCCCAGGCCTGCTTTTAGTTCTAAAAATAATCCAGGGAAGAGTTATTTTCTGGAATGGAGAGAGTGGCAAGGAGTCTTGCATCTGATTTGGAAGCTTAATTTCCTCTGTTCAGTTATTTTGAGGAAAGTTTACTTAACTGTATAATGGATTAGCCCTTAAAATAAGACTTGTCAACAGCAGACTAGTGTGTGAGGATTTAGGTTATTCTCAATCTAAAATATATCATCCAGATGTGGATGTTTCTTTGGCTAATGCCAAAGCAGAGGGGAGCGCTTTGAATACATAAAAAGAAAAGATTCTTGTATCTGAACCTGCAGGTCAGCCATTTTAACTTTTTCCTGCTGCTGGCTCCTTACTTTTGACACTGTATTCTATCTGGAAATGAGATTATTTCTGTTTAGTCAAATGAGCACTAAGTCAAACATAGGGTCTTTATACTTCTAAGTTTCTGTTTACTTTTATTCAGAGTTTTTCAATGTTCTATGGAGTTGTCAGTCTTCAATAGATGTAGGCCTTTTTGTCAGAAAGCTGTAACTGTGATTTAAGTCCAGATAGTTTAGAGACTAGATGTTAATCTAGTGTAATGTGTGGTAAAATGCTAGTTTTCCATGTCTAAACTGATCTTGAAACTGAAATGTAAGATGTAAAACTTCCCGAGTGCTTCTTCCTAGTCTTAAAAGGCTATCTTGGGTTGTTTCTGTTTGGTGTGATATTGTCAAAATGGAGCTTTTGAGTGAACTTTTGTGAACTTCATAATTGCATTGTGCAATGCTTTGTTTATAACTAAAATAGTATTGCTTACCCTTTTCTTTTTTATTGCTTCTAGGATGATTTGCGTAAAGAAGACTTCAGTAGCATGAGTGCTCAGTTATTGTATAAAATGTTCAAGTCAAAGACAGAATATCCTCTGCATAAGGCTATTAAGGTTGAGAGAGAAGATGTAGTCTTTTTGTATCTTATTGAAATGGATTCACAGGTATAGTGAGACTGACTTGATCTGTCTTCTAGTATTTGGTATTTCCAATAACTAGTTTCTTAAACTACTGGTCTGAACCTTGTTATTTCTTTTTGTTGCTAATTCTTATTTGCATGTTTATAATTGCCATAGCTACTTTTATGTACATAATGGAGGTCTAGTGGTAAAGGCTCCATAAAGACATAATTAAGTATTACGAATCACTTCTGAAAACATCTTGCGTGCAACAGATTATATCTAGTAAAATCCAATACTTGATAGTGCTACGCACATTTAAAGTTGAATGTTATGTAGTTAACTTTGCTGCTTCATGGCAGTTCAGTAAGCATAATTTCTTTGAACAAATGTTTTTCCTCTTCTGTTGAATGTTTGAAGTAACAGGTATTTGTTCTTCCTGGATGAACACTAAATAACTAGCAAGTAAATTGTCCCTCAGCAAGGGGAGGGAAGAATTATTCAAGTATTAATTATCAAGAATTATTCAGTTTGTCCTTTAGGATGCATCCAATCCTAACTGGAAGCTGGGACTGTAGTAGCAGTACTTAACACCCTTAAATGCTAATCCAGTTGGGATTTGATATATCTTAAAGGAAGAATTGAGTAATTCTTCCTAGTACTATGTTGACTATGCCTATATAGGCAGCATCTTTTAACAGTGTACTAGTCTTGCTTCCTGTGAGTTAAACAAGGCTTGCAAACAGAACTCCTGTTATCTCATTGAATGACTGTCTGGGTTGACTTGCATATGGTGATGCTAGTGTTCTGATGGCTTTCCTGTTTAAGATGCACTTAGCTAAATGAAACACTAGCATTTTTGCATTAGAGCTGAAGGTCTAACATTGTGGTAGTTGGAACAGGCTGTTAAAATATTATGTTGGGCTGGTGAGCATACCTCTAACTAATGTCAGTTGACTGAATTTGTGTTGTAGCTTCCCGGGAAGCTCAATGAGTTGGATCACAATGGAGATCTTGCTTTGGATCTAGCCCTTGCCCAAAGATTGGAGAGTATTGCAACGACACTGGTCAACTACAAAGCTGATGTAGATAGGGCAGACAAGAGAGGCTGGAGTCTATTACATAAAGCCATCCAGAGAGGTAAGTAAATAGGATATGAAGCCTTGTTAACTTGCAGTTGTTACCGGTGTGGAATATATATTCCAAAGTCTATTCCTGTGTCACTATGTAGTTGACATTTCAGTTAGTTAGAAAATTGTAGTCAAGGATGAACTTTGTCCTATTTATTTTTTTTTTTAAACTTAAAAACAAATAAACTCTTATTTGGGACCTGAAAGCTAGCCTGCTGGCTGATGAACTAAACTTAGGCTACATGACATCCAGAAGCAATATAGTAACTTATTGTCTGCTAAAGGAAGAAATGTAGGGAGATACTGAGACTATTCTAATTTGATAACACAATGTCTTTCTGACAAATAGTTGAATCAAGCGTAACAGCCTGGTCACAAATAAAGGTGAAACCTTTTTCTAGACCTGGGCTGAATGCAGCATATGATTCTTTGTGGTTATGGTTAACAGCAAGGGTCCTTGTTACTGGATAGCAGTTTTAGGGGAGGAGAAACTGGCTGGAAGAAGATGAGGAGCAGGCAGAGGTGTTTCTGTGCCAGTCTGAATATCTTCAAAGCTCCAGTGAATAGTAGCATAGTTATCAGAGTGGACTCTGAGTACAACTACATGATTATTTTGAACTGTTCTCCACCTTAGAGTGGCAAATGCATCTTAGGAGACTTGGAGCACAATCGGACCCAGTTGCTGTGGCCACAGTACTCTGAAAGCTTTGGAGCTGTAGCATCTTGGCCTATGGCCAAGGTCTGGTAAAGATTTGTAGTGAGTGCCTCGTGCTAGTTGCCTGCAAGGATATCTTTGGCAGCTCTGTTCCACAAAGCCAAGCACAACGGGAACCTTACCTGTGACTGGACCTTGTGGGTATTGTAGTGCTACAAATTAAAAGCATAAGGTTTTTCTTAACAGTAAGCTCTTTTGGACTCTTAAAAGTAGCTTGTTTTGTGAGCTCAAAATGCAGCTCCCAACTTCTTTTAATCTTCTACATATCTAAACAGGGTAATGTTGGTGTCTGATCCTGTGAATGAAACTTCAGCAACAGGAGTAGGAGACCGTCTAGGCATAGGTCAGTGTTGTGATGGCTGCAGCCCTATAAAGCACTAGAAAGATTGCAGCAGGCTGCTCTTCATACTTAATACTAGGATTTGTCATCTAGTTCTAATGTCTGCTTTCAGTCTAAGCTAGAGCTCTGAGAATGAATGCTTGCTTTTTAGTAACCAAAGCTTTGGTGAATTAATAACTGTTAACAATCACATGTTCTGGAAATGGAGCTAAAGCAAATTATCTGAACTTGCCACATGATTCTTACTATTTATGATCACTGGAGAATGGGGGAATGTCAGATATGGAAATGAGAAAATGGGATTTTGGTTTTTGCTGGCAGAGATAATACAGCAATCTGTATTATCTATAGAGGCAAAGTTGTCTTTGTTCTCTAGTCTTGCATTCAGGACAAGCAATTTGTGAATATGTCTTCAGGGTAGTCTTCGGAGGAAGGGAATTTAGTGTTACCCTGAAGTCATTTTCTGCATCTTGGTGTTTCAAGTCCAAGGCTTCATGTACTGAAATGGGCCTAAGTTCTGACTTTTGAGGAGCTCTTAAGAGGGAGTTCTTAGGAATGCCATGCATGGTGGGTCTGAACTGTTGAAGCCCTTACCCTATGTATAATGGGGCCTAAACTTTTAAGGGCAAAGGCTGTGTTATTGCTTGTTTGTGTAGCAATACTGAACAGATGATGACTAACTTCAGCTACACGCTTTTGACTGATGCCCTGGAATAGTACCTCTTGTTTAAAAACTACTTGTGTGTTTAGTCTCACAATTTGTCCCATTGTGCATTAAAGCAGCAATGGATTTGTCTTGATAGAAGAACTAGCAAACTCACTATCACCATAGCAAGTAAACTAGTGAATTTGAGTCACATGTAACCTCTGGGTAAAACACATTTCCAAGGGGTTCTTATGAAATATTTTAATCCTGACTTTGCAGTGAAGTGTTCTTGAAGTTACCTATTGCTAAGGCATTCTAAGAGCAGACACTTGCATTGGAATGATTGTATGGTATAGAGGGAGATGGTGTGTATCCATTTTCTGGACTTCTATAAAGTATATAGGGTTCCAGTGTATCCATAAATAACCTTATTTTGTTTCACAAAAGGAGATAAATTTGCTGCAAACTTTCTCATTAAAAATGGTGCCCGTGTGAATGCTGCTACACTGGGAGACCAGGAGACTCCTCTGCACCTTGTGGCATCGTATAGCCCCAAGAAGCATTTGCCAGATGTCATGACAGAGATGGCACAGATAGCAGAGTCCCTCTTACAGGCAGGAGCCAATCCAAATATGCAAGACAACAAAGGAAGGTAAATACTGGGTGAAGTCAAGTCTGTTACCAGTTTGACATCTAAAGCTTTAGTGATTAGGTGCAGCCCACTAAGAACCTGCTCAGGTCTGTCAGCAAAGCACAGGTGATACTGGAAGCAGGAAAGGTGGATTCATTAATCCAGTTTGAGACCTGTGGGTAGCACTCAAAGTGAAAAGCTGTGCAGGCTGAATGGTGCCCTGTCATGACTAAGCCCAGCTATAGAAGGCTGAGGTGAGTTGATCCTGTTGGAACACATGGCACACAATTAATTGCCTTTATTGAATCACTGAACAGTAAAGCAAGCAAACTAAGATGACAAATACCCTTCAGGAATGCTACTTCTCTTTGAAGCTGTCAGTGAAACTGAAATTACTGAGTCAGTATCTGCAGTGTGTTTATCTGAAGAGTAGGGCCTGTAAACTGCTTTCCAGGTTAGGTTGGGCTGGCAAACAAGTGCATAAAATGATATAGAATACTTGGAGTTTATCAGTTACTCAATTCTGATAGGTAAAGCTCTTCTGCTTTTTCTTTGAAGGTTAGCTCTTACATTAGTGTGAAGAGTTGCTTAATACTAAATTAATTGGAATCATGTCCACTGAAAGGGTAGACTGTGCTTTCTTTCAAGATGTGCTTGTGCCCTTCTGAAACCAGAGACAAAAGTTAACCCCATAAATCTGTAGAGGCATGTTGGTGATCATGGACAAAATCTTAAGTGTCTCACTTCATTACTAATGTAACTGTACTTTGCTCCAATTGCAGGACCCCATTACATGTGTCAATTGTGGTCAGGAATGAACCTGTGTTCAGTCAGCTTCTTCAGTGCAAACAGTAAGTCTCACTTAAATGTAAAATACACTGAGGTTACCTTGTACAGTGAAGGTATGAAAACTGGTTTAACAGCTCTTCTATGCCTTTTTGCCTTATAATAAGTCTAGCAATAGGCTTGGGAAGCAAAAGTGTAAAGACTTTGCATAACTTAAGATGCCAGAACAATGCCAGAAGCCAAATAAGTTTTTGCCCTGCTTTAAAGAGGAAGCAAACTATATCTCGGTGTTTTTCAAAGAGGGCTAGGTGAAATAATGTAGCAATAACTTCATTTGTAGTGGAGCTAAAAGGAGTAGTAAGACTCTTAAAACGTCTGAGTATGTTCTTGAGTTCAATTTGGGTGCTGCTTAAAGCTAATACAGGTGACTTCTTGGGTGATGAAACAGGATACTTCATTTGACTCAGTTTCTTTGTAGTCGAATTTGCAGTTTTTGGGTACAATTTATTCAAATACAAGAGGATTTGCCTCTTTGTTATGTTTAGTGGGAGCGCAAATCTATCAGGGCTACACTTCTAGGAGCAATGAGCATTCACAATTCTCTGAAGTAACTGGAGCTACATCAGGCTTCTTGGCAAGCAGGAGTTGTCAGTGAGGTATTAGATAAACTAGTACAGCTGTTCAGACATGTGAAACTTAAGCTGCGTTGGGGACCACTTTTTAAGGTATAAATTGGGGAACATTAACTCTTATTTTTAGACTAGACTTGGAGCTGAAGGATCATGAAGGAAGCACAGCTCTGTGGCTTGCAGTTCAGTATATCACCGTATCGTCTGATCAGTCTGTGAACCCTTTTGAGGATGCCCCTGTTGTAAATGGAACCTCATTTGATGAGAACAGTTTTGCAGCAAGGCTGATCCAACAAGGCAGCAATACAGATGCTCCAGACACAGTAACAGGTAAAACAGAGGTTTGTATTTTGGTGTAGGTAGAAGGCTTGTAAGTTAATTGCTTAATGCTGACCTCACTCTGAGGAGCTGAATGAGGTTTCAACAGCATTTGCTGCATAATACATGTTAAGTGGTAGTAGCTTTACCCAGAGTTGGAACACTGATGGGTCCCAAGCTGAGCTTGGCTTGCAGGAAGTGACATGAAATCTGGACTCCTTGCCAGGTCCTAACATCCTCTTTACAGTTTCAAAATGTGTAATTGTTAAATGGTAGCATATGTGACAGTCCAATGTTGCAAGGTAACTACTAGTAGGTAGGATTTTCCTTGTTGTTTTTCAAATTGTAATGTTGTAAGGTAGTGGGGAAGGTGCTAGCATACTTGTTAGTGTTGAAGTGTGGTTGGAATAGCTCTCTAACAGTGTTCATGGTTTTTCTTTAGGAAACTGCTTGCTTCAGAGGGCAGCTGGTGCAGGAAATGAGGCAGCTTCTCTCTTCCTAGCAACTCATGGAGCAAAAGTCAACCACCAAAACAAACGGGTAAAAGCAGAAACTTACAGACTGTAGCCTGGAAGTTTCCTTATTTCTATTCAGAAGTAAGAGAGCAGAGAGCTCTCTTTGCTAACCTTAGCTTAATGCATTTTGGAACACCTGCTGAGATATTTACTAGTGATTAGACAACTGTTGCATTCACATGGCACTGTTCTTGCAGCATCACCTGCTGCTAACATGCTTTTAACCCTTCCTTCAGTGCCTGCTGTATTAAGTCCTTAATATAGGCTAACTCATGTAGTTTGAAAGTCCTAAGGAGCTTCAACTGCTAGGACATAAGCTCTTCACACCAATCTTTGTGGGCATAGTTGTTTAAAAGCTACTTCTCTTCTGGGTTTCATGTCTCAAGCTGTTAACCTAGTATTCTGTTTATTAAAGGGAGAAACACCACTGCATACAGCCTGTAGGCATGGCCTAGCAAACCTGACAGCAGAACTTCTGCAACAAGGAGCCAATCCAAATATCCAGACAGCAGAAGCAGTGCTTGGTCAGAAGGATGCATCTTCTCCAACAGCAGAGAATGTTTATTTGCAAACTCCCCTTCACATGGCTATTGCTTACAATCACCCTGATGTGGTGTCAGTCATCCTGGAACAAAAAGGTAGGGTGTTTTTCTGGTTCAGAAAGTACTGATGCTATAGTGGATTGCTGTGTCAAGATGGCATCTAAATTGTGTTTTGACAAACTACTAATAAAGTATGTCTTCCTGTAAACTTTGTTCAAGTAGAGCAATTAATAAGACTGGCTAAATATAGTCTTAAATGCAAATAATCTCCTTGTTAAGACTAGAAAATTAATTTGCCCATAAATCTTGCTAAATTCTCCACTGTAGATAATGGACTTGAACACTTAGCCCCAGGTTGTATTATAGCTGTACAGCTGAGATCCCTTTTCTCTCCCTGTCAAAGCATTTGGTCTGAGTAAACACTGAAATCAAATATGGATAAAGCCATCTTTCTGTGGTGAGATTTCCGCCTCCCTCAGCTCTTTCAGTAAGAGGATTCTGTACAGAGTAATGCTAGTATTGTAGTGAAGTTGAGACTTGACTACTGAAATACTAACAGATGACAGTTTATTAAATGCTGCTAGTTCCACTTCTCCTTTCTAGCAGTAGGGAGTTTGACAGCTGAAGCAAGGCCTGTTTCGTCTGCTACCATAAGTAGGATTTAGAGGGAGTAGGTGAATTGGGGAGAATATCCTCCATCCCAGGGAGCTGAGAAGGAGGGATGCTGCCACTATCTTGCAGTACAGCCTCCACTCTTCATTCTCAGAACTTTGTATATGCCACTCTGGAAATGGAGGTAGAAAGGGGGCAGGTTAAGTCTCTTAGCTAGAAAGTTGAAATTTTTTTAGTGTAAGTATTAAGATCAGGTAGTAGTGGCAATACTAGCTGAATCCTAAGCAGTATCACATCTGGGAAACTGTAGGTATCCTGCTCAGATCTTTCTGACTGGCTGCTAAAGGAACAGCCTTCTTCAAAACGTGACATTGCTACTCTTACAACTTTCAGTGTGCAACTGCAGGTCAAATACAAGAATGCTCTAATTACTTACTTGGTTTTTTTTTTCTAGCTAATGCTCTTCATGCAACCAACAACTTGCAAATTATTCCTGACTTTAGTCTAAAGGACTCAAGAGATCAGACTGTGCTGGGGTTGGCTCTTTGGACAGGTATGTGCCTTCAAAACAGGATGAGAATTTACAGAAGCTATGATGTTGGTAAGATTTTTAAGAAAAAAAACAGCAGGTGTGTGTTATGTCCTGGCTTGTGCTGCTAGTGAGAAGCTGTTAAGGAGAGCTTTAGGTGATTCTTCAGCTTCTAAAACTGGTAGTTTTCATACCAGATCACCATATTGTCTGATCATGAGTAACTCTGTCCTAGACACTGGCTAATACAGTAATGCTCACCTTTACAGAGGGAAGGGGAGCTATTAAGGGGAATGGATCTATGGATCTTGAAATACTGGTTCAGAAGCTGCTTTCATGTGTGAAATATGGAGGGGAATGGTTTGGGGAAAACAAGATATTTTTATCTGTAGCCAAGTGACTTTTCAACAGTATCAGGACATCATCAAAAGAAAAGAGGTGGTGTGGTCATTACTGAATCAGTTTAGGTATGGTCCTACTGAGCTGGAAACAGCAGCTGTGTGTGGGATGGCTACTCATACTCTGGACTTAAGAGATGAGGCAGAACACTTAGTGATGCTGCTCTGTACTGGAGTGCTAGATGTCATTGATATGTAAGAAACACCTTTCCTGTCCAGGCTTTTCACTTTCCTTTCTAATGAAAGGAAACAAAAATGTAGCTTTCTACTTACCTTATCTGTAGCCCTTATCTGCTCCCAACATAAAGGGGGAGGATCTAAACATCTAATGCAGTAACATTCAAGGGAATAGCTTATGAATGTAATACCAAACTTAATGGTTTTGGAGAAAAGTCTGAAGTGATGTAAAGGATTAGGCTAGGTTTGATTAAGGAGGACTCTACTACATTTAGATTGGCAAAACTAAAGAGAAAGCTCTACTTGTATACCAAACCATATCTTATGTCTTTAAGCCAAACCAAAAGGACTCTAATCAATATTCAGTAAGTCTGTAAATGAATATTCAGGCTGGGTAGAGTCATGAGTTGTTTTAACTTGTGTATGTAAACTTTAATAGGCTCTTGCATTGATTCAGTGCATCTCTTACTGTAATTACTGAAAACTGAAAGCTCAGAGCTTTATTTATTAATCTTCAATGTGTCTTTTATAGAGGTGAAGGCAGGATACTAATGAGCTTTTAACTCTTTAGGCATGCACACAATAGCAGCTCAGCTGCTTGGATCTGGGGCATCCATCAATGACACAATGTCAGATGGACAGACTCTACTACACACTGCAATACAGAGACAAGACAGTAAGAGTGCTCTCTTTTTGCTGGAACATCAGGCAGATATAAATGTCAGGTAAGATCTTAACTGATACAACACTCAGCTGTATATGTATTTAGGAGTGGGTAGTGATGGCTGCCTTTATATAATGGCTTGAAGTTGGTTTCAAGTCATGATTTGTGCATAGTTATGTGTTTGGTGCTTTTTATGGCAGTAGTTATGGCTGAGGGACTATATATGTGAACTTGGACTACTTACAGCTCTATTGGTCATACCTCCTCTTGAAGCTATAGAAGGAGGTGCCACTTAATTCTGGGTAGAACAGACTCATCTAAGAGACTCAAGTTGTAGAGACATGGTACTGAACTTCTATAGTCACATTTATTTGCCAGCTTGATGGAGCTGCATGTTTTCTTAATTAGATGTAGCTCCATGTCTTCTATCATCTAAGCTGATTAGATGTAGCTCCAGCATAAGATTCTGATAGTACTTGCCTCCCGAGTATCTCCTAGACATGTTGATGTTAGACCGGACAAAATATTTATCTGCTTATGTGACTGACTGGCTGTCTCTGAAAGTTGTGAGGTGTAATGTAATGAATGTCATGGGTACAAACTGTCTAATACTGCTGTTCTAACTTCAGTTTTTTTAACAGTTGGTACTTCTGACTGTTTGAAGTGTTACCACAGTGCAGAACTGTTCGCTTCTGTGGCAGTAGGCTTGCTCTGAAGGAGCTGTGTTCAAATAATGGCTGCACTTAAGGAAATGACAGTGTCTCTGAGCTAAGAACACTAATGTGCTTTTCAGACTTCAGAAATCAATCACTTGCTACTAAAGTTTGGGAGGAGAAAGGTAAACTACATAGCTGTGATGAAAAACTAATACGGTGTGTTTGCTTGTCTGTAGAGATATGGTCTTACCACAGCAAAAATACACACATGAGGAGATAATTCCTGGCTTTGCCAATAAACTACTGTAACATGAGGCCTAACTTTATAATGTGGTAATAACACACTGCAAACTGTACCTATTGCAGAACACAGGATGGAGAAACTGCCTTACAGCTAGCTATAAAAAACCAACTCCCTCTTGTGGTTGATGCTATTTGTACCAGGGGAGCAGACATGTCTGTGCCAGATGAGAAAGGAAATCCTCCTTTGTGGCTTGCCTTAGAAAACAACCTGGAAGATATTGCATCAACTCTGGTAAGACTGTCAGTTGACTTCATTTAGTCTCACTTTTGTGCATCTTGCTAGCAACAAAGGGCTCATCAGCAAAAACAAGCTCAATGTATCAAAACAACAGAGTAGTTCTATACCACTGTCTAACTTCTAGAGGTTTTTCTTCACCAGAAGGTCCTTTTTCTTGGGAAATCTTTTATAAACACCGTAGTCTGCATAGCCAAATATCTTTCAGCCACTGTAATAAGTCTAGTGTATGCTATCGGATTTCCTAATTCTGGAAAGAGTAAGCATTTACTAAAAACATCAGTCTGTAGCATACCAGACTTGTGTGATGATAGGCTTCCTGAATAAAACTGAGCCCCCATATGTATGCTTTAGAGTACGTGTGGGTTTTTATTGCATCTTGAAAGTTGTGTCGCGAAGGCCTTTAAAGGCTTATATTTACTTTTAAGACTATTTACTTTCAGGAATTAGGTGATCCAGCAGGAGACTTCTTAGGAGATATAGTAGACCTCCTTATGCCTCCTTTGTAAGGAAGCTACTTGAAAGCTTTGTCTCCGATACCCAGTTATTGTCTGCTAGAGACAATTACTGAAAAGCTGTGCTGGTGAGCTGAGAAATGCATCTTGTAACTGCACTTGACCACTTGTTCTGGTGTTGGATAAGGATCCTTATGGAGTCAGCACTGAAACTACTCATGTGTAAACCTTGTAAATAGCTTGTAAAGTGGAGTGGAACAAGTCTTAAGTGCTATGTTGCTTGTGTAAGTAGTTCTGTAGTAGAAGAATACAAATACTAGAAATACAGTTCCTGGGGAAAAAATTATTTCTGTTAAGCTGAATGCATAGGAAAGCAAGCAAATGGGCCAGACCTTCAAAGGCAACGTCTGCTGATGCTACTTGACTCTCTCTAGGTGCTGGTCACTGGTGAAAATGAGGTAACTGCTACCCAAACTGGCTTAAGGCCCATGTATTCAGAGTATTTGAGTGAATATCTGAATTGTTTGTAAACAGTACCTATTTAAGTATTACATAGTAGGCCAATGAAAAATTAGTTTGGAAGATGTTAAAGTAGCTTTTTGAAATTCAGTGACTGTCACAAGAATAGATAAGGTATCTCAAATTCTATCTCTAAGGGATAATGTTTCAGAAGCACTAGTCAAGGACTATAAAAAGTAGCAGGAGTCGGCTGGAGATGTAAAAAGAAGTTCACTGCCTCATTGTGCTTCTCCTTCTAGGTTAGGCATGGCTGTGATTCAACCTGTTGGGGGTCAGGACCAAGTGGCTGCTTACAAACTCTTCTTCACAGAGCTATTGACGAAAACAGTGAACAAATAGCATGTTTTCTTATTCGCAGGTCAGTCCCCCTTGTAAAATACAAATCTTCTAATGTGCATGTACATATTTTCCTGGCATAAATTAACTGAATGCAATTTTGAGCTAGTAACAGGTATGTGCTCCATTAGACTTTTGGTGGGTGGATGGTACTTACAGAAGTCTGACTAATCTTAAAGACATTCTGTTATCTATATTGCCATCATGTTCTTGATGACGAGTCAAATTAAAACCAAGAACTTGCACTTATGTAGAATGTGTCAGCAGTTGCTGGATCAGCTCTTGAAAACTTTATGACCCTTGTTTGGAACAGTTTAAGTCTGGATTAAATGTTATAAATTGACTGTATTGTGGTTATTTTAGTGGTTGTGATGTGAATAGTCCAAGAAAGCCAGGCCCAAATGGAGAAGGAGAAGAGGAAGCTCATGATGGGCAGACACCCCTACACTTGGCAGCCTGCTGGGGACTAGAAGAGGTGATCCAGTGCCTTTTGGAGTTTGGTGCCAATGTCAATGCTCAGGTATGTAGAGAAATTATGCACAGTTTCTTTGAAGTTGATTCTTTGTCTCTAATGTAGTGAAAACAGACTTCCATCTTAGCTGTGTATTTTGCTTGATAGGAAAAAGAACATCCTTCTATTATGGCTACAGTTCTCTTTCTTTCGTGTCCCCTGTTAACAGATCTAGTGTTTATCTGCCCATATGATGGGTTAGATTAGGAAGTGATACTGAAGGAAAATAACAATACAGAAGACTTCTTGCAGTGTTAGTTCTCTGATGTAATGACTGGAATTACTCTTCTGTCCTAAGTGTGAATTAAAGGCAGGAGCAGGGCTGTATTCTGCCGCAATTAATCGTTAGATCAGCTGTAGTGTAAAACTACAGAATACTCTACTTTGTTAGTATGTTTGAGAAGTGTCTTCAGTTACTGAGTAAACAGAGGTGATGTAACTATGAGTTACACTTTATTTTTGATTACACAGTAATGCTTACACAGAAGCTTGACAAATAGCAACAAAATTAATGCAAAACACTTCTAGGTCATGATGCTACTGAAAACAATATCAAAACAAGTGACAGAATGCATAGTCACAAAGTGGCCATGGCTGTAAACTGCTGCTTGATACAGACAAGTGATCAAACACTTATTAAAGGCTAGCAAATTCAAATGTATTGCTTGCATAACAAACAGCCTGATGCTGTTGTATTTTCAATGAGGGAACTTCCAAGTGTTTGGCTTCCAGAAAACTTGGCATTAGTGCCTGAGTCAAGCTAGGGAATTATCTGTAGTGCTGAATCTATGGAAATGGTACTTCAGACTTGCATATCAGATAAAAAATGAATTCTACAGATTTTTAATACTATAAAGTCTCAAAATACCTCAAACTAATACTAGTTTGAAAGCATTCTCTTGGAATGCTTGGTTAGGGTCTTGAATGCTCATCTCTGTCCCCAAAATGTCTGATTGCAGCTCCCACTGCAACTGTTTGATGTCCCAGCTGAAGGCAGCTGGTGATGTCATAGAACTAAACTAATAAGCTTCTACTTTTCAGAGTTAGATTCAGGAATACATAAATCTTTCCCTTCATTTAACAAAATTCCTGGTTTCCTTCTAGGATGCAGAAGGAAGAACTCCAATCCATGTTGCTATTAGTAACCAACATAATGTTATCATTCAGCTTATGATTTCACATCCAGATATTAAGCTAAATGTACGTGACAGGCAAGGAATGACTCCCTTTGCGTGTGCTATGACATATAAAAATAACAAAGCAGCTGAAGCAATTTTGAAGAGGGAACCAGGAGCTGCTGAACAGGTAAGCTGGGAGTATTCAAAGCATGCTGGTCTCCTTACTGCACTAGTACGTGGTAACAGGTATTCCACAAGCAAATCCTGCTTTATCCTTTTGTGGCTTTAGATGCAATGATGTTTTCCAGATGCCACTTTTCTGTAGCAGGATTTACTAGGGAACTGTAGGTGTGTATGTACTGTGTGTGAGTAAGAACATCAAGGGTTAGTGTCTCATCAAACCTTATCTCATTTTGTCAGTACTAAATTGAGGAACAGGCATATGTGTGTATATAGGGATAAAGTTCTAACTCCACTCTTGTCTTGTGCTGGACTAGTAGGAAAATAATCTATTACCGGCTTTTCTAAAGCTAGCCAAAATAGAAACTCTGACTTAAAACAACTGAATAATAGAAGTTATGCTGCACCGCTGAAGTACAAAACCTCCAACTGTATCTTTAGGCTTCTGGTGTGACACTTCAGGCAGCTGTTCAGGAGTTTCTTCCTACCCTATGTAAGTTTCATTACTAGTAAAGTATTTGAGTGCTTAGTGAGCTCTTGTAACATATCTAAAATGTGGTTACAAATACAGCTGGTTCTAAATATGTTTTGACATCAGCTTCAAGGCAGAGATGTATAACAACGTGTACTTGGTATTAAGCCAAAAAATGAATACAGTTTGCATCAGTGTGGCAGGATCGCATGTTGCTTCCTTCTCAGTTGTTAACTGCCAGATTTGACTCGAGTTTGTTTCATTTAACTGAGTTTATTGTTAACTGCTGCTCAGTACTTACTACAATAGCTGTCAACCTTTTGTATGTCATAATACTCCATAGTGTGTGGTCAAGAAATGCCAAGGTTATAAAGTAGAATTAGTCTGAAGCAGACTAGAGTGAGCAGTTGCAGCTGATAACTTCTCAGTTCAGTTTATTTGATAGTTGCATCTATCAAATAAGTCTCTAAAGTCAATAGTGAAAGGAACAGGGCTCTACAGTTCACCTCAAGTAGGGAACAAGTATCTCTTTGTTAAAATATGTCCTACTACATAACAACTGGCTGTTCTGCAGAAATAATAGATTTCATTTCATGTGTCCTTTCTGCCACAGGTTGATAACAAAGGTCGGAATTTCCTACATGTAGCTGTTCAGAACTCTGACATTGAGAGCGTGCTGTTCCTGATAAGTGTACAGGCTAATGTAAACTCTCGGGTCCAGGATGCCTCCAAGCTGACACCTCTGCACCTGGCTGTACAAGCTGGCTCAGAGATCATTGTTCGTAATCTGGTATGTATTGGAGAGTCACTTTCCCCTACTTAAAAATGTGCATTCTGCCTTAATGTGCATTGCATGTAGGCTGGAGAAGTCAGCTGAAGGCGACACCACTTTTCCTGGAACAGAACTTGAGATTTGCACAAAGTTCCCTTAGCTTGTACTGTTAGCCGAGCTGCATCAGTAGCCTTTGAGCATGTTTTGATTTGCAGCAATCACCAGGTAGTGTGGCTCACTTCAAAAGAAGAACCTTACCTTGCATTTTCTGCAGATTTGAACATGAACAGAAGTTGCGGTAGCTCAGTAATGATAGCATTTTATATATGCTGAAGGCCTAAAAGTATCTTTGTACAGTGGAGTCTTGTGTGCTTCATTCACAGAAATAGACTGTTGGCTAATAGCCCTGAAAACATCTTTGAACGTATTCCTTCTTGCATCTTGACAGCTGCTTGCAGGTGCCCAGGTGAATGAACTGACTAAGCATCGTCAGACTGCTCTTCACTTAGCAGCCCAGCAGGATTTGCCCACAATTTGTTCAGTCCTTCTGGAGAATGGAGTAGACTTTGCAGCTGTAGATGAAAATGGAAATAATGGTAAACTTCTGAAGTTCTACAAGTAGATGTAAACACTTCAGTAGGTCTGTTCGTGATATCTCCTAGTGGTAGAGGTAGTGCACTGAATAGGCTCGCTCTTCAAAGGTGAAAAAGAATGGAAGTCCAAGAAATCAAAGCTGGTGGAAGGAGTTTTGGAGAGGGAAGGTGGGGGAAGTGGAAGGGGAGTGCTTAATTTTATTAGTCTGTAATTATTGCTGACATTAACTACTTCAGATTCTTGAAGCTTCTCTTTCACTTTTCAGCTCTTCATCTGGCAGTGATGCATGGCCGTCTAAACAATATCCGAGTCCTCCTCACAGAGTGCAATGTAGATGCGGAAGCCTTTAATATTAGGTAATAGCCTTAACAGACTAAAAGAGCCACAATCTGTTTTAAAATATATGCTGATATGACTACATAAAAAACCCCAAAGATTTGGCTTTGGTTATAACATTTCTACACTCATTTTACAGTAAAGCGTGCAGAGCATGCTGTGTCTGAATTGTGTGGAAGTTGTGTACCAAGAAAAGGAAGCTAAAGTAGGCAGTTGTATATGATGTACTGAGTTACTTAGGTGTAGCATGGTTTAAGTCTGAACCAAACTTGCAAGCAAGGGGAGTTGGATGCATAACTGTAGTAGCAAGCAGACTTTCATCAGGGTAACAAACTTATTTTTTTTTCCCCCAGGGGCCAGTCACCAATGCATATTTTGGGGCAATACGGGAAGGATAATGCAGCAGCCATCTGTGACCTCTTCTTGGAGTGTATGCCGGAATACCCTCTAGACAAACCTGATGCTGAAGGAAACACAGGTAGGTGAGATTCAACAGCTGTTAAACTTGAAAGTCACTCAAGTTGTATTAATGGTATGTCACTTCTAAAGCTGGAATAATTGGCAGTAATATGTTAAATACAGTAAGATGCAAACATTACATGGAAACTTAAAAGAACTAAAGAGCCTACTCTGGACTGAGTGTAATGCAACACCTACCACTCTCTTAGCAGAAAAATGTCTGGCTTTCATCTTTCAGTGCTCCTGTTGGCTTACATGAAGGGAAATGCTAATTTGTGTCGTGCAATAGTGAGAGCTGGGGCTCGTCTTGGAGTTAACAACAATCAGGGAGTAAATATCTTCAACTACCAAGTTGCTACAAAACAGCTTCTCTTTAGATTGCTGGGTAAGTACAACTTGCTACAGTTGGAAATTGTTTTTACCTTATGCTTCTGAGACACTTTGGTGGAGGAAAAAACTCTGGACATCTGACTTGGATGACAGTAATTCCAGAGGAGCTGAACTTCTGAATATTCTCCTACTTTAAATAGGGGGTAGAAATACTAATTTTTCTCACGATCAACTAGAAAAGTTGCACAATGCAGACCTGTCAAATACTACTTTTTCTTGAAGGATTGAATGGCTGGTGCCACTGTCTAATGTAGCTTAAAACCTAGATACTTCTTTTTAACTTGTGCTGTATAGTTGCTGTGGATAATGTGATATTGATGAAAGCAACTATACATTGCCTACAAACAAGCCTGCAGCTACTGGAAGAGTAGGTAAATCAATTATACCACATGTAACCTAAAACTGGAAGAAGCCTCCTTATGTTACAGTGTACTCAAGAGGTGTCTGACCCCGTTTTGCCTTTACATTTTTGCCTCCAACAGATATGCTGACAAAAGAACCTCCCTGGTGTGATGGCTCCAACTGCTATGAATGCACTGCCAAATTTGGAGTCACGACAAGAAAGCATCACTGGTAATATGACACATCTTGCTGTGCTTACAAGGAAACGGATTCCTCTTCCAAATGTAGCTAGACTTGTTCCTTCTGGTGGTTTAGGAAACCTCCATGCTAATGTAGGTGTATAACCAGTAATCCAGCTAAAGCGTTCCACCCTGTCCTAGATCAGTAACTTGTGGTCTGACTAAAATAGTTATCTTGGGCAGTTTGTGCACTTAATATTCTGATTTGTTGGAAATGGGAAATCATGCCAAAGTTCCAGTAGCAAAGCAGAGGATTTAGATGCCTGCTTTCAGTAGTGGGGCTGACCTGCTCTGAAACAGGTGACACACTTGGGCAGCCACTGCCAGCTTAAATTAGGGGTGCTGTTTGTGATGTGGAAATGACCGAAGATGCTGACCTGAGTTGCCCTTGTGTAGACATGAGTTGCCTTTTGTAGAAGCTCTGGATTTTTAAGAAAATATGCTGAGTTAGATGGGACGCTAAACTAAGATTTTTTTTTTTTTCTCTTAGCCCAGTGTTCCAGAGGAACTACACATGCATCAGTTGAAGTAGTACTAGGTGACTGACTGGCAGAAGCAGCATGTGTTTGGCATTAGTATTCAATTATGATGAGAGCTACCAGAAGATAAAAGAAAAATGTAGCATTTCAATTGCTGCTGTACCTCTTTACTAATACTATCATTGCTAAAGAATATCAAACAGTAAAACCCTGGTGTTCACTATGAGTGAATTCACTTTTCTCCCATCTCTCTTCTATGAACAGCCGACACTGTGGACGCCTGCTCTGCCATAAGTGCTCAACAAAGGAGATTCCCATCATAAAATTTGATCTGAACAAGCCAGTTCGAGTTTGCAACATCTGCTTTGATGTCCTGACTCTGGGAGGAGTCTCCTAGTGTGCTGGAGAAGTAAAGGGATTCCCAGTCAGTGCTCCTGACAGCAGCTCTGCTTACATGCCCTCTGGATAGGGAAGAGGAGGCCTATACATGTCTTCTGCAATAGATTGAACTAATTAAGGACCCTGTTATGATATATTCTGGTATAAATGATTTTGTATGACTGTAAATGTATCAGGCTGTGATAAGACTTCACTAGGAAATTGAGTGGACTGTTGAAACCAAGTGACAAAAGAATTTAGACCCTCTTCTAGTTGCAGTGGGGTATGGAAGCTAAAATTGTTGGGCTGGTGTTTGAATTGGCATGAAACAGGTCTGTCCTTGATATGGTGCTTTGCACTGAGCAACTCTATTAAGTCCTGTGGCTTTCAGGCTGCTTAGTAGAGATGGCATTAAGTTTCAGGGTAACCAGGTATCTTTCTTTGCTTTGTCTTAAAGATAAATGTTCCCTTTCTCTAGAGAAGACTTCTCATGAAGCTAGACTAAGCTGTTGCAACCACTGTTCATTTCGAGCAACTCTTCAAAAATGGGGGTAGTTCTAAGCGTAGCTCAAGAATTGTGGCCTTACAACAGAAAGCTTTACAACATCTGATGCAAAGCAGTCAGAATTGCAGATCCACATCTTGATACCTCCTCAGTAAATGTCTTATTAGCTTTAGCATGTTCAAGAGAAGTGCAAGATTGTTTTAGCCAGTAAATACTCTTGCTCATACCTGCTAGAGCTGTCAAAGTCTACTTGTCACACTTTTATATTTACGTTGCAGTCCTTCCAATTCATGAAACTTGTATAAATGAGCATAAGTGTGCTGAAAGGCCTAAGTATATGCGAAATGGAGAAACACTAAAACTGGTTAAGTAGTCTAACTGGCAATACAGCAATAAAGCTGAAGTGCATTATGAATCCCATGAGGGAGAGTAGCACTTTCCTTTGGTTTAAAGACCCTGGTTAACTGCTGCAGGAGAGTCGGTAACCATGCAGAATGTGCTGCACCTCTAGACATTAAATTTGGGTCCAT